CGCCTGCCCTGCAGTCCGCGCTTGAAGATCGTTCAATCCTTCTTTCTGAGGACGAGGCTGCCGCCCGTCGTGAGAGTTTTGATGGCAGCCTGTTCCTTGATCCTGTTCTGCGGGACAGCCCTAAACTTTTTGGTGAGTTCGTTTCCGAGCTCTGGGATGCTGGCGTTGTGGAGGTCAGCGATGATGTGCTCGAAGAGAGTGGCATGATTTTCGTTCGAAAAAAATCAGGCGCCCTTCGCCTGATTTGGGATACTCGTGTGCCTAACCTTCGGTTTCGCGAGCCCCCTGGTGTGCCCTTGCCCTCCGGCGAGGCCCCTGCTCACCTCAAATGCCAGCCTCGTGCGATTCCCGTGCTGCACGGGGGCGACGTCGAAGTTTGCTATTACCAATTCGCTCTCCCTGAACAGTACAAGTGTTTTTTTCCGGCCTGCCATCTCTTCCCATTGCGCACCTGTCCCCGTCCCTCGTCGCTTCTCTGCCGGACGCGGTTCGGGATCGTGGTTGGGCTCGCTTGCGGGCCCGTGTGGTGCCGATGGGGTGGAATTGGGCTGTGGCCCTTGTACAGGCCGCGAACCAGTACCAGCTAGATGGAGTTTCCCCCGAGGCCCCGTGGCTCCTTGATAAAGTTCCGCTGCCACCCCTTGGCGACGTTGGGTCGCTTTGCGGATTGTATATCGACAACTTCGTTTCCCTGGCCCATAGTAAATCGGTTACTACCTCGGACGTCCTGGGAATGCAGTCTCGGCTCGCGGACCTCGGGATCGCGTCGACCCTGGAGAGCTCGGAGGCGGGGGACAATGACTCATGACTTCATCGGCTTCACACTGGTGGGCTCCTCGGGTGAGTGGCGTCTTAAGTCTAGTCGGTTTGGGAGGTTGAAGTTGGCGTCGGATTATCTCTTGGAGGTTCGACCGAGTATCGCGGGGCAGGAGCTCGAGCGTTTCGTGGGCCATGTCACGGCTTTGTTTTCGCTTTCCCCCGAACTCTTGTGCCTCATGGAAAAGGTCTATGTCTTCATTCACGAGAGTTACACCCGCCGTCAGCCTTTGCGGCCGTCTGTACATCGCGAAGTTCGGTGGATGCGTGCTCTGCTTCCTCTGGCTCGTGCGTCGATGCGTCGGCCCTGGTCGAGTCGGGTCTTCGGCTACGACGCCTCCTGCTGAAGCTTTGGAGTCGGGTCTGTGCACTGGGAGCCGGGAGAGGTCGCCGCCGTGGGTCGCGTTCGTAAACGGGCCCGCTTTCGCGGCCTCCTCAGTGTCTCGGAGGCGCCGCGGTCCCGGGCCCTCGAGCATCAGGGGGGGCTGGAGATCGCTGGGGCTTCGGAGGCCAACATCCTGGGTTTGGGTCGGGCCCGGGCGTTTGTCGAGGTCCCGGCGAACCTGGTCGAGCGCGGCTGGACTGTGGCCTACGCTCGCCGCAAGAGAGGGGTCCCGGGGCCCCAGGTCCAACTTGAAGCTCGGGCCCGGACCTGGACGGTGCGCCATGTTGCTCGGGATTGCAGTCTTCACAACTCTCGAGTGCTTCTCTTGGGTGACAATATGTCTGTGATCCTTGCGCACGCCAAGGGCAGGTCGGTCGTCTACGCCGGCCATGACCTTTCAGTGCCAGCTCACCTCGGCCACCGCCCTCGCCGTCGGGCTCAAACTTTACGACCGTTGGGCCCCATCGGAGCTCAACGCCTTGGGCGCTGCGAGCCGAAATCACCGGCCTCGGCGCGGGGGCAAAACGGAGGTGGCAGTCCACCTCCGGCACCGGCTGCCTGCCGCCAGCGCGGTTGCTGCCTGCGGCCCGTCGAGGGCGCTGCGGGCCTGGGTTTCTCCAGCAGCCGCTCCGCCGGCGCGCCGACGGCCCGCGGCCCCGTGAGCGCCGGCCCCTCTGGGCCGAGCGCCCCTGGGCCCCTGGGGGTAGCCCCCCCGCCCGCTTTGGTAGGCCGCGGCGGGCTGCCCGCTCGGCCCGCTCTGGCCCGGGGGCCCGCCGGCCTCGAGCCGCCTGGGGCGCCTCCGATCGGCGACGCGGGCGCGGCTGCGGCTGTTGGCCCCGCTGCTGACCGGTCTGCAGCAGGAGCGCGCCCGCCCGGCGACGCAGGCGGGCTACTGCGACGTGCTGGAGCCGCTGGCCGACTTTCTGGGGCGGCGACCGCTGCCCACCTTGTCGGGCCCGCAGTGGGACTCGCTCCTCCTCAACTTCGTGGCGCGGGTGCGGGGCGAGGGCTGGTCGCGGGCGCTGGCTTCCCGACTGCTGGCCGCCGTGGTGTGGGCCCAGGCCGCGCTGGGCGGCCCACTGCGTCAAGTCTTCCCCGGCGCGCATGCGGCCATGCCGGGCTGGCGCCAGCTGGAGCCAGCTCACAGTCGTCCACCTCTGCCCTGGGGCGTCGTGCTGGCCTTGGCGTGGGCGATGCTGCCCGAGTGCCCTGTGGGGGCCCTCGCCATCATCGTCATGTTCGAGACGTACATGCGCCCCTCGGAGCTCCTGAGCCTCACAGTTGGGCAGCTGGTGCCGCCTACCGCGTCGCGGGGCCAAGGGGCGCCCTGGGGCTTTTGCGTCCACGTGGAGGAGTTGGGCCGGCCGTCCAAGACCCAGGTGTTCGACCTGAGCGTGCTCCTCGACCTGGACCGCCGCCGTCCGCTCATCCCGGTGCTGCAGGCGCTGCAGGGCGGGCGCGCGAGCGGGGAGCCCTTCTTCAACGTCAGCTCGAGGCAGTTGTACCGGTCCTTCGCGCTGGCCGTGGAGCACGCGGGGGTCTCCTGCATCGAGCCGAGCCTCTACGCGCTGCGGCGCGGGGGCGCCAGCCACGATCGTCTGGTTCGAGCGCGCTCGCTGGTCGAGGTGCAGCAGAGGGGCCACTACTGGCGCAGCTTCCGGAGCGTCGTGCACTACGACAAGCACGCGCGGGTCTCCTTGCAGCTCGGCAAGCTTTCCGCGGCGGTGAGAAACCAGATCTCGGCGCTGGTCGACCGCGGCATCACGCCCTTCGCCGTGCACTGCGCCGGGCTCTTGCACAGCCGCAGCCGCACGGCCGCAGGATTTTCTTAGACTTGTTCTCAAGGGCGGGAGGCCTGGCTTCCTCACTTGCCGATCTCAGCGTCGCGGTCGTATGCATCGATATCTGCCATGGGCCTGCTCACGACTTGTTGAACACTGACGTTTTCAACACCTTGCTCGGCTGGATCCGCTCGGGTCTTGTGTTGGGAATCTGGGCAGGCACTGCGTGTCAGTCGTTCACGATTGCTCGCCGTGCTCCGCAGTGGTCTCGTCTTCCCCATCGGCTGCGCAGTCCTGAATACCCCCTTGGCCTCCCGAGTCTTGATTCACGCGATCAGGTGACAGCCTCTGAAGGTAACGTGCTTGCACATCGTTCCGACGTTCTCCTAGACGCTTGTATCCAGCGAGGGCTACCCTGTGGTGAAGAAAACCCAACTCAGTCCTACTTGTGGCTGGGCCACCAACGTCCAGCTATGATGCGGCGTCCCGAGTGCACGCCTTATGTCATTGACGATTGCGCTTTCGGCACGCCGTGGAGAGCTCGTACTCGTCTCAACTTGTTTAACATCAAATGTCCTACCTTGGATGCAGCCAGATGCCATGGCAAGGGGACTTGCAGCTTTTCAGGAAAACCACACTATCAGTTGGACGGGCCCACGGGAAAAAGGGGGATTCTTGACACGTCAGAAGCAGGTTTACCCCGAGAAGCTGTGCCTCGTGCTATCCAAGGCTATCGCCTCGTCCCTCAGCCTCTTGCGTGTGCACGAACTGTGGCCAGCTTTCTCCTCTTTTCCCTCCTCCCTTCCCTTCTCTCCCTTTCCTCTTACTTGGGGGCCTCGGGGGTGTTTTCCTGTAGCAAGACCTAGACCAATAAAATTCGTCGAATGAAATTCGCCACTACAATGCTGTATGCGGGTGCTCTGTTTGAGGGCAGATTTGGTTTGAAGATGCTCACTCGTTCACCGCAAGCAGTGGTCTGGAAAAGAGCAGTCGGAGTCATATTTGCGCCCCACGTCCATGACCCGACCTCGTCATCCGTTCTCCGCTCTATAGCGCTTTTTGGTTCACCCGAACCCCTCCCACCCCCAAAAAGCTGGGGCAGATTTGGTTTGAAGATGATCACTCGTTCACCGCAGGCAGTGGTCTGGAAAAGAGCAGTCGGAGTCATGATGATGATGATTAAGCTGATGCTGCTGATGATGCTGCTGATGATGATGCTGATGCTGATGCTGGTGATCGTGCTGTCACCGATGATGACAATTTGATGGTGACGGTGGTCCTGCGGATGGGACGGATGAATCTGAGAAGTCAGGGCCCCGCTGGTTAGAACGGCCTGGTCTAGCCAGATGCGCCCCCAAGAATTCATTAGCTGGCTAGAAGCGGCCGTTCTAAACAGAGGGGCGCCATATGAATTGGTCGAAATAGGTACTCGTATTTGTCCTGACAGTGATGCTGGTGATGAAAGAGGCAGAAAGCAGAAGGGGCCCAAAACTAACCCAAATCACTCATCTCCGCCGTCGCCGAAAGCCAATGAAGGAGGCGGCCTGGCCGCCCCGCCCTCCCAAGGGGCCTGTCTTCTGGAGCTTCCAAACTGAGCCCCTCCTCGCAGGCTTCCTCCGCATTGAGCTCGCGCTCCTGCAGCCGGGCTCCCCCCTCCCGCATCCATCCATCCAGCCAGTCGCCTTCCTCCCCCCTTCCCTCTCGTCATCCCCCTCCCTCCTTGCCCCCCTCCCCCTTCCTTTCCTCCTTCCTTGCCCCCTCCACTCCATCCCATACCTCCGACATCACGATTTCGTTACGTGGGCCCCCAAAGTTCGTGACCCCACCCCGGTGCTGGCCTTCATCCTTGGCAGTGTTTCGATGGCCCTGGGGCCTAAGGTGCGCTCCGGCCAGACAGGACATCCACTTGTGGCGACGAGGGCGTCCCCAACAGGTCCAGCAAGAATGCAAGACACCGACCTCGCCCTCGCACTCCGTTTCCCGAGGCTGGCTGGAGTAGAGGTATGCGCTCCTGCTTGCTAAGCTTCTCGCGGAAGAAGAGGGACTTCGTGTACCACGCCTGGCGCTCATGGGGGGGGGGAATCGGATGTCAGAGGACTAAAGATCAAGATTCTAGAATGGACGCGTTTTCGCAATTCCTGGTCCTCCTTGGGCGCGCCATTGTCGGCATGACCATAATCAAATTCGCATTCTGGCCAGCCAGAACTCACTCCACGACAAGTTTGGGAGTCGATTGCGGAGGCGAGATCTCCTCGTCTTCCATCCCACCTCCTCCTCTGGCGCACCTCTCTCGCCGGACCCCGCCGCTTGCGCGGCCACCTCTGCCTCGACGATCGCCCCCAAATCGTTGCGCCTGATTATTTGTCCGCTTGCTACCTTCGCTGCTCCTCCTTTCCTTATCATCCCATCTTTCCTCCTCGCTTGTTTAGTTAACCGAGCTTTGATACACAGAGTCTCGCAACGTCAAAGACATCGACCAACAAACCCAAACGCATGATCGGATCGCTGCGTAGGTGGACAACGGTGCGAGCGCAATCGCAAAAACAATTGAAGCACATGGGATCAGCTGAAGGCTATAATAGGTTGCTGCACCTGGTTGGCGACAAGGCTGGACCTCACGAGAGTCAGGAAGGATCCAAAACACCGATGCACCTGGAACGTAATACTCATGACCGGCTGCATCGAAAACGAACTGGCAACACCGAGTGGGTAATGACATATTCCCAAAATCACGATCACAAAACAAAGTATGTTTAATAACAACCATGGTAAGAGATGAACGCGATGTGGGCGCCAGGCGGAACATGTGGTATTGGTCTTGCTGCATGCCGGCCTGGCTGTGTAAGAAGGCGTGCGAGTAGCACAGGACGCTACAATTACATCTCCTGATTCGGTTCGCAGAAAATGATATATGAGATTATGCAAGTTAGAGGAGGTATGGCCGTGACGTAATCGACACGCGGAACATGTGGTCTCGGCCGCGATTCGAAGCCTGCACATAATATCCCTGATTGGAGATTGCGGACGACAATGAAGTGGATACGATCTGTGATGGTATGTTATCGTGGTAGGAGTGGTAGTAGTAGTAGTAATAGTAGTAGTAGTAGTAGTAGTAAGAGTAGTAGTAGTAGTAGTAGTCGTAGTTGTAGTTGTAGTAGTAGTCGTAGTAGTAGTAGTAGTAGTAGTAGTAGTAGTAGTAGTAGTAGTAGTAGTAGTAGTAGTAGTAGTAGTAGTAGTAGTAGTAGTAGTAGTAGTAGTAGTAGTAGTAGTAGTAGTAGTAGTAGTAGTAGTAGTAGTAGTAGTAGTAGTAGTAGTAGCAGTAGCGTAGGTCGTAGGTCGTAGGTGGTCGGTGGTTGGTGGTAGGAACGGCCGGCGGATATGTGGTCTTGGTCAGGCTCGCTGACCACATCGCTGCGTGTAAACAAGTGGCTGCGCTGGAAACGAGATACATATATATATATATATATATATATATGTGTGTGTGTCTGTGTATATATATATATATATATATATATTCTTATACGACCACCCTTCGGGTGATAAGGCGGTTGTGGGGGGGAGAGGGGGGGAACCAACATCTGACACAATCGATCTCACTATCGAACTTACTCAACGGGACACCACGGGGCACCACAGGACACCGAGGGACACCGCGAGCCACCGCCGGACGGCGGACGGACGGCGGGCGGGGGATAATCATTTGCCTTGACTTCGCCCCAGCAACGGCGGACACCACAGGACACCACGGGACAACACGGGACACCGCGGGACACCGCCAGGGCCACCGCCGGACGGACGGACGGACGGGGTATAATCATTTGTCTTGACTTCGCCCCACCAACGGCGGGTTCATTCCTCTCGCGAGCCCACGCATCTTCGCCTCGCCCGCACGCGCGACACGAACGAAACGAAACGATGTCCCGGTTGGGGGTCTCCGTCCCACTGCGATCTCACCCCCCAACCTCTGATATATATATATATATATATATATATACATACGCACTGACATACTAAGACCACGCACGCGCTTCACGCGCGCTTAGGTTCGAGTCACATCCAAGGAACTCGTTCGGCAAACTGTTTACGAGGAGTGCATGGGAGCGATTATGGAACTCCTTCGGGTCGAAAGACCTGCGGCAATTGAAGTTGGAGATCCCGCCAACGCGTGGGCGCCGCCAGAAGCTCGTTCGACCCGCGCTGCGCTTCCCTGGGTCCGTTATGAGACTGGGGGTGGAGGAGAAGGAAGAGGAGGAAAAGGAGGAGCCCTTACATAAAAAGAGGGGTGTCCACGTCTGGCTGGCGCCATCAGGGCCAAACCGTTGTTCAAGAGGTGCGCACGTACCCCTTCTTCACCTCGTCTTCCTCCTGCTCCTGCTCCTTGTCTTCCTAGTCATTCACATCATCAGTTTGTTTTCCTTTTGGCGGCCATCATTCCATCAGATTTGTAGTAATCCTTCTCCCCCTCATTTTCGTCCTCCCACTCCCACTTCCGCCTGACGTTCCTCGTCGCTGGCCTCGCCCCCTCTTGTCGCGCCGAGCAAGATGGCCATGCGCGCACATAGGATGAGGAGGACACAACAACGGGGAGCGGGGAAGGGGGAGGGAGGGGGGGCGAGAGGTAAAGGACGAAAATGAGAGGAAGGGGAGGGGGGGGCATGGTTGGGAGGAGATAGAGGGGACGGGGCAACAGGGGGGACGCGACAGCAGCGATGCCGTTAGCACGCCAACACGACCGAAGGCAATAACGTTCGGCAAGAAGGCGGGAAGAGGGAGGAAGGGCGGTTTCAAGAATGGCTCGAAGATCCCGCTAAAGGGCCCTGAACAAACAAAGAAACAAAAACCTGAGGTCAACTGAAGCGAGAACTTCCGCGCGTGACTCGAAGGCACTGGGGATGATGGGGGCATCCCCTGAACAGGCCAAGCGCTGTCCCCAACAGTCGAAGCAGGACCCCGCGTGAAATTTTCCAGGAATCACGCAGTGACATATTATTAGACCGATGGGGGGTCTCCCGCACGGTCCGCCTGGCTCCCGCGATGACCCGTAAGGCCCCAGATTGGCGAAGATATGCCAGAGGGTATCGTCAGAGCACGTCCGGGGCGTATCATGCAGCAGCGATCGACGATGCGGGAGGCCCCGTGGACTGCAATAGGAGGCGACATGCGAGCGCACGCGCGCGTCCAACTATACTTCAACAGCGTTTTGGCTTACCTACGTACGGCCCGTCACGTGCAAGCGACGCGGCGCACGCGAATGAAATAGGCCCTGCTTTTCCGGGTTCGGGGGCGCGAGCAGCGCCCTGAACTTTGCCATGAGCGCGCTCCACTGTTCAGCAAATAATCAGCCACTGCCACCGCACTTCTAACTCACGGGGCACTCCGTGCGCGAAGGACGCGGCACTGCACGACGCGTGAAGATTCACCCACTCTGGCGCGCAACCACGCGACTACCAGAGAGAGCAGACCCCTGCGCGTCGGTGCAGCGGGCGCGCAGAAACGAGCGCATCTAACAACAATGCACAACGGTGGAAAATGGTCTCAATAAGCCGCAACTATCGTTGGCGCCGCAACGTATGGTTCCACGATGCCCGCGCGTGCGTGCGAGGCGACGCTCAACGAACAGCGAAATCTTGGTGTCCAGGAGCTCCGATCAAGAGACGCTACCGCTGTCGAGAAACGGCTCGGGATGCTTCGAAAGCGCAGATGGCCAGAATTTGTTTCGCGTCCACCTGCTCTGCATAGCGTGGAGAAGGATGCGACGAAATGTGCGGCAGGACTGTCGCAGCGGCCGCTCGGAATCCGCGGGCGCCCGCGCGCGCTGACAAAGCTACCCAATGGCCTCCAAGAGAAGGTGTGCGAATCAGAAAAGCCGCAGTCGTAAAGAATTCTTCTGCTGTGGCGTACGGCGCGAATGGATGGCCCAGGCCTTCATGGAAAAGTGGCGACGCCCCGGACATGCAAAAGGGTGGCGGAATCGTAATTGCTTCCGCCTGATTCGACCAGGTTCTCAGCGGCATCCCCAAGGAGAGCTGCCAGAGTTACATGTTCGAAGTCGGCTTTGGAAACGGTGGTATGCACCGGCGATTGAACACTGCTCACTGGCACCATGGAATGGTTGTAGGCATGCAGGCCACATGCCACAGCGCTGGAAACGGCATTGAACCAAGGAGCTGCGGATTGGACAGACGGCAGGTGCTCGGGGAAAGGCATGCCTGCGTGACTTCGACTGTCCCAGTGCGTGCCTTTGGTGTCTGGCGATGCGCCGTGGCTCCGCCTCCTCCTCCTCCTCCTCCTCCTCCTCCGCCTCCTCCTCCTCCTCCTCCTCCTCCTCCTCCTCCTCCTCCTCCTCCTCCTCCTCCCTCTCCTCAAGAGCCGACCACTTGACGTATCTTAGAGCGCGTTCTGATCCGAATTTCGAGGCGGACCCGGCCGTGGCGGTTAGAAGCCCCCCCCGAGGCCAACATAAGGGCGAAACACGCTGTAGGAACCTGGAACGTTGAGCCTCCTGCCGCCGCCACCTGCCCCCTGCGGTCCTTCCGCCCTCCCTCCTCGCTCCTCCTCCTCCTCTTCCCTCCTCCTCGTCTTCCTCCCCCTCCTCGTCCTCCTCCTCCTCCGACCCAAGTCCACCCAAATCCAAACCCTGGAATCCTTTCGGGGCCCATCCTGCCTGAATGCTCTTTTTTCCCTCACACACAGAGGCGAGATTAGGCCGGTCTCAGGCAACATTTCCTCGGCGCGTCAGCACGAAACAAACATGTCGCGAAATTCGGTACGCAAATGCGAGCGAAAGCTGATGAGGAGGACGAGGAGGAGGGGAGGAGGAACAGAAGGACAAAAGCGCTGTGCGGATAACCCCTGCGACACACGCAGCCACTGCTATAGTCAAGATCAGCTTTTGACGTCCTAAAGCGGCTCCTCGGGATGCCGATATCGAGGAGCAACCTCGTTGTCGTCCTCCTCCCTCTGAGGAGGAAAAGGACCTCCTCCCTCCTCTGGCCAGAGCTCGAGGGGAAGGGCGGAGGGCGGCCAGCCTCGAACTGCTCGTAGGTGATGACCTGGTCGCTGGGGACCGTCTTGCCGTTCAGAACGGCGGGCTTGTGCGCGCCGCGAGCGCGCGGCGAAGGTGAATAATCAAGGTGGGACAAGAAGCTCGGCTCAAATCTTCCCGCATGCATCGAGGTCCCGAAGCAACGCGTACACGTCGGTCTGAAGAAGTGGGTCGAAGCATGAAGCAGGAAGGCGTTGGAAGTAGATTGGGCTTCCGCCCGCACCCTGCAGGGGAGGGAACGGGGAAAAACGCTCGACTCTTGAAGTAGGAAGGTGGCTAGAGTAGACTGGGATCAGCGGGTCCAAAGCACCCACGTTCTCAACGACCGGCGTGCATCGAAGCAACGAGGGTCCGATACTCAGGCGCCCGACGGTGCCCTTGCGCCCATCCGCGGCCACGGGGCTGCCGACCCCATCCCCAGAGGCAGCCCTGGAGGCCTCCCGAATGGGGTCCGAGTAGACGGGGTCGGAGGATCGCGCAGCATCGCCGATGCATCGCCAGTGGATCGGCGATGCATCGTCGACGTCGGAGATGCATCGAAGACGCCAACGTGGATAACATCGTACTCCACATGGAGTCATACCCCGCATGCAATTGCGTCAATCCGCGGGCCCCGGGCTCCCGATCCCTTCTCCGGAGACCGCTTTTCATTCTGGGTCGTATTCTTCGCCATCGCTCGGACGTCCGTTTCCCGTGCACTTTTCGATTTCGTGCGTGGATTTTTCGTAACATGGTCCGATATGCACGCTGCCGAGATTCTGATGGCCCCTGGGGCCCGAAAACGGAACCCAGGGAGGCCAATACTTAGAGAGAAAAAACACCAGGATCGAGCAAATGAATCCCCCCGAGGTCTGGCTGGCCATCTCTCTGACGTCCACTCCCTGTGCGTGTGTCGATTTCGTGCGCGTATTTCGTTCGCAAGGTGACCCCAGATGCTCCTCGATGGTGCTCGCGAGAAAAATGCACACGTCCGGGAGATGCCAAGCTGGGGGTCGAGGTGTCGAGGCACGTCTCGTTCGGAAGAAGTGGACAGGCAGCGCTGCACATGGATTCGGTTTCCGCGCCCCTGAATAGGAAGCAAGGGAGGAACTCACGCGATCCTTGAAGCAGGAGGGCGCCCAACGCAGATGGGAATCTGGAAATCTGACAGCACCCACTTTCAACAAGGGATCGGATCACCGATCCCGGCTCCGGCTGATCCTGGCCGATGCCGGCGAATCGAGCCGCACGGGATCGAATCCGAACCGCGGCCACAGCTGGCGAACCGACTCGCACCGAGCCCGATCACAGGAGGCCCTGCAGCAGGGCCCGCGGGGCACGGGCGGCACGCGGCCCGGATGGCGGCCCGTAGCTGCCGCCGGGGCCCCGAGTGCCCCTGCGGAGGCGGCCCAGCGGCGGCGGGGAGGGCGGTCCTCCGTCTCCGGCGGCGAGGGGCTGGAGCCATCCTTGGCGCGTCGGCGGCGTGGTCGTCGTCGTGGTCGTGGTCGCGGTCGTGGTCGTGGTCGTGGTCGTCGTCGGTCGTCGACGGACACTGTCGTCGGACGTGATCGTCGGTCGAGGCTCGAGGAGCCGAGGGCGCAGGCGCAGGCGCCGCCTGGGCGCGAGCGCCACGGGACCGAAGGGGGGAGGCGAGGCGGCCGATCTGCTTTTCTGCTACGAGGCTCGAGGTTACCCTGAGACCCTGGCGTTCCGATCTTGTCACAACGGGCGCTTTCGCTTAATTTCGGGCCCCGGGACCCTCACAAATCGATCCGGCTTAAAACATCGTACAGAAAAATTGGGTCCGGGGCTCCGATCGTGATTTTCCCGATGTTGGAACTTCTTCGCAACGTCGGATCTCAGTATAGTGGTTCCCACGTTCCCAACTATCCTGTGGTGTTGGGTCCCCGTTTTGAAGAGACAGAGCCCCGCGTTCCTCCTCCCGCTGCCCCCTCCCCCTCCTCCCTCCCCTTCCTCCTCCGATCCCTGCCTCTGCCCTCCGAACCAGTCAACCATTTTGGCACACCCCTCACACGTTTCGTGGCCCCATAGGGAGCCCCACCGAAGGCCCGAGTGGGAAAGTTCGCATGCAGTTCCAACCCCCATTTCGGCACATCCCTCACACGGCTCGTGGCCCCCTAGGCCCCCTAGTGAACTCCACCGAAGGGCCCAGTGGGAAAGTTCGTATGCAGTTCCACCCCCCATTTCGGCGCACCCCTCACACCGTTCGTGGCCTCATAGGGAGCTCCTCCGAAGGGTCCAGTGGGAAAGTTTGCATGCAGTTCCACCGCCATTTCGGCGCACCCCACACACGTTTCGTGGTCCCATGGGGAGCTCCACCGAAGGCACCGGTGGGAAAGTTTGCACCAATTCCACCCCCCAATTCGGCTAAGGAGCTCCTCTGAAGACCCAAGTGGGAAAGTTCGCATGCAGTTCCACTCCCCTTCGGCGCGCCCCTCACGCGTTTCGCGGCCCCGTAGGGAGCTACACCGAAGTCCCCAGTAGGAACGTTCGCATGCAATTCCACCTCCCTTTCGTCGCATCCCCTCACACGGTTCGTGACCCCCTAGGGAGCTCCACCGAAGGCCCCGGTGGGAAAGTTCGGATGCAATTCCATTCTCCATTTCGGCGCACCCCTCACGCGGTTAGTGGTCACATAGGGAGCTCCACCGAAGGCCCAAGTGGGAAAGTTCGCATGCAGTTCCACCCCATTTTGGCGCACCCCTCACACGGTTCGTAGTCCCATGGAGCTCCACCGAAAGCTCCAGTGGGAAAGTTCGCATGCAGTTCCACCCCGATTTCGTCGCACCCCATCACACGGTTTGTGGCCCCATAGGAAGCCCCCCCGCAGGCCACGCAGCTCCACACCCAATTCCGGCGCATCCCTCACACGGTCCGTTTCCCCAGAAGGGCCCCAGCTGCAGGGTTCGCATGCAGTTGCATCCCCACGTCGGCTCATCTCAGATGTTTCTTCGCCCTATCGGGAGCTTTACCGAAAACGATACACTCCGTTACGGCACTCACAGCTGCATATGGTTGAGTCCTTCGCCAAGCTAGTGTTTGGCCTTTCTGGGCTTCCAGGGGCGCTCTCGGCGCCACGGAAGGAGTCGTCCCCAAACAACCTGGGCCTACAATCGCACCCCTGGACACCTTCCTGCAGAGTGATTTGTGGACCCTGGACACAGGCGTCCATCATAATGAAACTAGGCTCAACCCTTCGCCATGTCGGCCCTTCGGGGCCGCTGTCGGGACCACAAGACCGTCCAAACACGATTCAAAACAAACAGCCGGCCCCTTGGGAGGAGCTCGAGAGCTCCACGGACCTGTGCATCTGCAAAAATCAACGCGTTGGAGGTCTTTGGGAGGCGCTGGCACTTGCTGACGTGTCGCCCGCCGCCGCCGCCCCCGTTCCTGGGATACCAGAGTGCTTTCTCGAGGGTATGAGGGTCCTGTTCTGCTGGATCAGGGGCCGTTCGAGCGCGATCGGCTGACTTCTACTGCCAGCCTGGACTCACCCCTCAGCGAGTTGGGAAGGCGCGCAAGCCTCCTAGCTAGCAATTCCTCCACACTCGATTACATGTCCTGCTCCCCATGCGCAATGCCTACGAATAGCGAATAATATCTTATGTGCTCAGATTCGTGATGCCAATGCGCATGCCGCCGTCGTATGCACAACGAATTGGGCATCCATGTGGACGAGAACGACACCAACTTCGCGACTGCATGGTCGCGCAACAACTGCCAAGAACGGACGCCGAAACGGAAGCCCGAGAAATCCATGATATGCAGTCGCAGCGGCGATCTGAACAGAAATGCCAACAGCACCTGAAACTACTGTGCTGATTTACTGCGATGCCCTCGACAAGCGCTGCTGCGTTCGCATGTTCAGCTGAGGGCGGGCTCAGGAGGACTGCGCTGACGTGCAACTGCTCCACCGAAGGCACACGCGGACGACCGAGTCGGCAAAAAGAAATGTACAGGGGGGGCGCAGGAAGGCCTCAGACGGTGAGCTGTTGCAGATGTAAGTCATTAACTCATCGAGGTCGGCCTCCGTGCAATTGGTGTGCTTCAACTCCCTGCGGAAACGGCTGCGCAAAAAAATCAAACAAGGAAGAACCACGAAGAAGCACAACGAGCCGGAGAACATGCGAACGTGGACTCGCAGTGAGTTGGCACACATGTGACACACTTGTAAGTGCGAACTGCATGCCAAAGGTGTGTGTGTGTGCACACAAGGTATTACATACCCCACTGATGAGCCAACATGTTGGCAAGTCCTCCCTACATTCGCGCAATGTCAGCTGGAGCGTATACATATATGAATATATTTATACACGCACACTAGAACCACGTGTGCACTCTGGGCTCTTAGGTTACACCAAGCCTTGCATCTGACCAACGCACAGCTGCAATCTAAGAGGGTACCGACAAAGATCCTGACCATGATTTGGATGTGCACTTCTACTAACTATGCGGACGGAACGGATACGTATGACGGATTTTGATGCACCCATGCGCATTCAATGGGACCCAATGCAATGCAAAGCTATGCACATCGCGAATGGATGTAATGTGCCGAGTTGGCAGCACAGTGCAAGGCTTCGCCATGGAAAGCATCTGCATGTTCACCAACGTGGACCCCAAACAATGAGTTGTTACACTTTCAAATGCAAGCCATGTGGTATAGCGGTAACGAGGAGTCAACCGGTGGCAACGCGACGAATCATCGGCACAACCTCGCGGGCGGCAGCGGGCAGCAGCGTGGGGAATCCTCGGTATCCTCACGCAGGCGGCAATGTGGCGAATCCTCGGCATGCCCGTAGGCGGCAAAGGGCGGAACGTGGCGGATTCTTGGGGCACTCACCCAAGTCCGTAGAAGCGCAAGTAAGACCCCTGAAGTGCAAGCACAATTTGAGGAACTTGAAATACATCACGTTGCAACACAGCACGACATATGGCAAATAATCATTGATAGCTATATCAAAACAGTGCAAAGCGACGCAGATCAAATCAACGGATGTTAACTCAAAAAACGAAAGTGACTATGGTAAGCCAAGTAGCATCCGATTCCATGGGGATCGGATGGCAAATCGCGTCCGGTATCGTACTGAGGCTGTTCAGTAAGAGGAATGGACGGATAAGATAGGATAAGATCGATGTAATGATCTTTCCAACACGTAGCGGACACAAGCAGTGTCCGGGCAAATAGGGCGCGCGTGCCTTGAGCCAAAAGCAACGGCGCGCGAGCTATACTCCCGATTCTATATAACATCTCCCAAAGAGCTACCCTTAAAGTCAAAGAGTATAGCCGCGCAGCCGTTAGGCTCTACAAAGGCCGCGCGCGCAACTGTTTGCAAGAAAACGGTGCATACAGACTGGCCTAACACCAGACTGTAAGGCGAGTTTCCTCGCAAGGCATTTCACGCAAATATGAGACAGCCCCTTGAATGGTAAAGGGCTATCGGCCCGGCTAGAGGTAAGCCAAACGGGCTATACATCACCGAGCAAACGGGTATTAAAGCAAAGAGCCTGAATCACACTGAACAGGCTCGTTACCAAGCGTGAAATGTAAGGCTCGTTTCCGAGCACCTAGAAGGGCGCCTCTGTAGTAGGCGCCCATGCTGGCAAATTGGACCGCGGGGGCAACAAGGACAGACTAAAATTGATTAGACTTAGGCTTGTTTCTGTCCTCGGGATCCCGAAAGGGAACAAACTGCTTCACGTCATACTTAAATGACTGGTTGCCTGACATCACTTCCAAAAGTAGCTCCCGATCGATGCTCCCCTTTGTATGCCCATCTGCGGTCATATCTCTAATATCACACCACTGCACGTTATGCACTATACCTATATCCATGAGCTCACGTTTCCAGATAATATGTCCAAGCAAGGTCCGTTCCGTCGGTATCTTAAGGTCCTTGCTGGATAGCGATTTATATACCGACTCAGCGTCGATGGTAAGGGATACTTTAATAGCTAGGCCCCCAACTTCACGCATATCTCGTAGTTGTCGTGGAGTCAGAGCCCCTGCCTTGAGCTCGTGGAGAGTGATGAGCGTAGGGTAACACTCATCAAGGTTGCGTGCAGCTGCAAGTGCCTCAGCGGCATAGCTGGACCTCACCTGCAGTCGGTGTGATTTACATAGTCCGTCGCAGAGGTGAACGACGGATTTGCCTTGAGGCGAGTTCCCTCGCCGTAGTACGTTGGCCCCGCGTATGCCGCAACCCTTGGTCTCATCGTCCTCCTCCCCGGTGAGCTTCCGATGCCCCGAATCACTGTGTATGTCAACTTCTTTCGTCGGCTTCATCCGAGGGAAGGTGATGCGTTTCGGGCTGCTGGTCAGCTTTCGCGTCACAGCATTCAGTCGTCTGACTTGTAGGTTGGTGGGCTCTTGGATTTTCTGAAGAGAGACCACATATAACATGAGCCAGACTTGAGTAAGAAGAACATAGGCGAGGGCTCCTCGCAAGCTGACGAACATGTCGGTGATGAGTTTGGTGGCTTTGGCATCGGCCGCCGCTCCTGTAAGTTCTGGGTGTGTGATAGGACGTAGTTGTTTGATACACTCGTCCTGATCCATGATCACATCCCCTTGGTCATTCTTAGTGTAGCGAACGGCGCAGTTCGTATATGAGTGTTTGTTAAGCTTGCATTTGCCAAACACTTTTCGACACGTTGTACATAGTCGTCTATATTTTTCTCTAGGCCTGTCATATTAATGTCATCGACATGTTTTGCCGTTAACAAACCTTGGCTGAATTCAAATTCAGGATCACAACTTGTCGGTGTAAGGCCTAGAGCTCGTGTGGTCGCACGAAGCTTGAGAGAGAACGCTCTTGGGGCGTCTTTTGTACCCGTCCCTGGCTTGAGGCACCTGAGGCAGTGTCGGCTTTCGTCATAGGATGAAAAGCCGGGCAGTGTACGAAGTACCTGGGCACTTCCCGGTGGAAGAGTGAAGCAGACCATGCGAGTTTCCTCGCCGGTGGCATGAGCAAGTTCCTCATAGGTCAACTCCTTGAGGAACGCCTTGTCGATATCCATGGATGCTAAGATCCACTCTGGATGGCATGCCACCTCACTTGCTAGGAGTCTCTGGGACTGCCTTCGGGCGGTTCCTGAGAAGGTTTCCACATCGAACGCCTCAGTGTCCATAAATCCACGAAGGACAAGTCTAAGACGGATGGTTTTAACGTTCTCGGTACCTACCTTCACAAACTTCCACTTGTATACATATCTGAATGTCATGATGTTGGAGGCTTAGGATAAATCATACATCTCAAAGCACCGGTTATCAAGCCAGATATTGAGTTCAGTGTACAAAGCTTCACTAACCTCTTTCGGGTGTGCTGCTATGTCGGCTTTGGTGAGTAGGTCGTCTTCCTTGACCACCACAGCACGTTTAGCAGCAGAGGATACATATACTCTCATCGTTGCGACCATATCAGTGTCGAGCTGTGCAAGTTGAGTCTGATCCAACACTACTTTTGACATTTCTGATGTAAAACATAACTCAACATAGGGACCATATTCATCACTGTCAAGAGAGTAGCCCTCGTCAGGTGGGGTTGAGCATAGAGAGACTAGACAGGGCTCTTGTGGTTCAGGCTCGTCTCCGAGCGTTTCTGACAATACGATATCTTCTTCGTCCACAGATGCTGGAACCAAAACACATTGGTCGGGCAGCATAGTTGTTGGGACGCAGTAGAGATAATCGTCGGTAGTCGTCGTGGGATGAAGGCCCATACGTAACTCATCGTACCGCTCTTCCAGCATCATGGCTTCGATATTATGTTCCTCGTTGTCTTCATAGATTGTCGACAGACGGCCTTTACTTGGCGATGAAGCACCTGGGGTGTCTGGTGGAGGCCTGTTGCCAGGCGAATCGTGTTCTCCAGACGTGGTGCCCGAGTGCTGATACTTAGCCAGGTCGTCGTGAAATCCTAAGGAAGGAACATGTGAGGTCAGGCATTGGATGAGTCTGGAGTGAGTGCTACCAGTGATTTGAGAAATGTTCAGGCCAGTGCCCACACACTCATAATAGTGGAAAGCTGGGCTAACATCATTGTCGTAGTGGATCAGCGTAGACCCGGTGGCGTACTTTACTGCAGATAGACATGACACGCTTTTGGCCAGTCTATCTGTTACTACGTGTTCTACTCGGAAATAATTTCGCACGAGATACTGTAGTGCAAGGTGAACGCGCGGGTGAAACTTGCTGTCGTCTGAAAGATTGAGGTTTCCCTTGTAGTCTGGGATGTAACCAAAGACTTTGGCAGGTTTCCCTGCACCAAGGTGTGCCGCGTACGTGAGGACTGTTTGCATGGCCATATTATCCATGCCAAGTTCCCGTGTAAGGAGGCATTCAATGTATAGCGTGTGACGAGCATCAGGATACATCACAGTTACCTCACGAGATCCTGCCTTGACAACGATGTGTCCTCTTTCAGGCACGTTACGGATCACAGGGGATGGGCCGTTCCAGCCTCCATGATCGTCCTTAGTGGCAGTGGGTCGATGGTAGTCGACCAAATCCCCTGCTGAGTAAAGGCGAGCGCCATCTGGAGCCGTTTTAGCCCTGAGAGCACGATTTGTCTTGGCCACAGCCGTGGCTTGAGTTATTGTTTCTAGGCTAACTTTCCTCACACGACGTTCTCGTTCATGGCCTGACGTCTCGGGCCCCTTGGGAAAGTCAAGGGTGTCGAGGTCAGGAAGAAAGGAGGGCTGGCGTCCAGTGTGTGCTTGGCATGGCGATACGCCGTTGTAAAACGTGAAGGCGTTGGTAACGGAGATGCCTTCAGCCAATACTCTAGTGAATACAACAGGGATGTTGTGTCTGTTCAACTCTTCCTCAATCAGGTGGAGGACGCCCCTGAGAATACCGCTTCGTGACTCAATTGAAGTCGCGTGTTGGCCGGGCGCTCGGATACGGAGCGTTGCACCCTTGTTCGCCATCATGGCCTTAGCGGTATCATTGTTCAGGGCGCCCTCTCCATCTGAATACAAGACTTTGAAGGGTCCATGATAGGCAATCTAGCAGTAGTGGTAGGCCTCGAGTATAGTGTCACCTTCTCTGTCG